AAAATATTTGGAGCGACTGCTACGTAACATACTCTTGATGGAACTACGAAGGGTTTTGAATTTTTCCAGGAGATATTCAGTAGGTGTAGGGGATTTCTTAATTCTGAGGCGGAGAGAGTTTTTCTTCTTGATGTTGTGTAGAATTGTAGAATTCATCCACGGTACATAGTTGCGACCCTTTACTCTCACTGATGGTATGTGTTGGGATACAGTTTCTAGGAACGCCTTCTTCCATTGTTGCCAGTCGTGGTTGATATTGTCGTCGGTTGTAGTCAGGGAATCCAGATTTAGACATTCAAGGGAAGTTCGTAAGCCAGCAAAATCACCTTGACGGTAATTATAGACAATTCTGCGTATCTTTGGTAGCTGATTATAAAACATTGAAAATTCAAACACAATAATGTTGTGATCGGTGAAAAGTTCTGCTTGAGTGGGAGACAACATTTCACATATTTTGACTTTGTTGGGAATATTGGTAAGAACGAGATCTAACGTGTTATTACCTCTAGTAGGTGCGGTGTTTAGTTGTTCCAAGAAATGGTCATGGAGCAGTTCTACGAAGGTATTTTCGTTACTACCTGATGTTTTCTCTGGCGAGTCCCATGATATACGTGGCATATTGAAATCTCCTGCAAGCACAATGTTTGAGTGTTGTTAACAAACATCACTCATAAAGTTATTGAACTTGTCCAACCAGCTATGATCTCAGTTTGGTGGACGATAACAAGAACAAATTAATAAACTTGCGTTTGAAGTGGTTGTTATTTCAGTCATGGAGATCTCCAAATCATGACCATGTTGAATTTCCCGCACTGATTTAAATGATGAAATCTTTATCGCTAACAGTACTCCACCACCACGAGATCCGCGATCGTTCCTGAACATGTCATATCCCGAATGCAGAATTTCAGAGTTTTTAATATCCTCATTAAGCCACGTTTCGTAATTGACACAAACAATGTCGGGATCTTCAAAATAGACCAAGTTCTGGAAGCGTTCAATGTTAGTATCTGTCAAATTGTTTCCGATGTTGGTTTTGCGTAAACTCATCAGACTTCGAGCATTGAGTGCGAGACATTTTACGAACTGGTTTTCACGATTCGTGTGTTTGTAAGGTCCAGGATTCGTTGCGATATCTCCGGTAAGCAAGAATAATATAGAAGCATGTGAGATTTGCGGCTAATTTGTAAGTTTAAGCCGTAGCGATGCTGGTTATTGCATGGTAAGTTATACTTTCTGAAAACAACATCACGGGTGGAAACCCAAACATAGCATAGTTTTTCGGGCAGAGAAACAAGTTCGGGGCAGATTAAAATGTTTCCTGATGTAATTTGGGTCTTATTAGCGTTTCGATTAATTTTCACAGACAGTTTTAAAATTGAAAAAAGAAGTAACATGTTAATTATGAAGTGTCCAATCTTAACTAGAATTTTCTTTCCATCTGAAGTGTTTTTTAAAACCATTTCTGAATTCAAAGCTTACATTCACGTGATTTATTCTGTTTGTATTAATTTATTGAACTCACGTAGTTTGAAGACGTACGCATTTAATTACGTGTTTGCGATGACCGTCGATGACGATGACGTGTGGCGTAAGCAAACGTTCAACTGGCGTAAAATGCTAAAACAAAAATCCCCTGATTTTCGAAGAAATAAAACACTCCAAACGACGCTTTCTTGAATCAAACTCTCCAGAAATTCACAAGTCCTAGTTCCTGACACTCTTAGACGACTTTATTATACGTTTTTACTCCAAAACAGTGTTTTTGGACTACTAAAAAAGCTAATTTTTAAGGAGTTCCCTCGCGCGCACACGCACGCGCGAGGATGACGCGAGACAATCATACACTTACTTCAACGGAACTTACTTAAGTAATGGTGGTGGAAGTACAGCATGCTACGTCTTCAAGGGCAATAGTGAGTATTACCTGGGAAACCAAGCTGAGTTGGTAGATAACACGCTAGCCTGATGTGTCATCGTTAAACCGGAACACTCAATGCCTACTGGTATGAGTATGGATCTGTCTTTTTGTTGGTCACTGTTATATTCAGGGTCAAACGGTGGATAACATGTGTTGTATCATAAAGTATCATGTCAGAGTGGCGTTCATGCTTCTCATGTATGGGTAAAATCTGTGGCTGTCGTAAAAGGTCTAAGAAGAATGGAAAGGTTGGTGATATAAATTTCTCTGTATCCAATGATATTAAGGTTGAGGTGACCACACAACGTGAAAAGGATGATGCCAACAGTGTATCGGGACAACTAAGGCACCCCCCCCTTATGTGCCCCCAAAGAAAAAAGAAAATTGACGGAAGGGCTCTAGAATGAGTGTTTCTGGTGGTGTGGAGGAATAAGCGGTCACACTGTATAGTGGGTGTTTGAGGTAGTGGAATGGTGGGAATCTTCTCTGAGAGTATAAATAATACCTGTGGAAAACACAGAGTATGAAAATATGTTGTTGAAATTAGTATCTGACAACTTTGTGAATAGGGTATGTGTAAACAGAGATGGGGAAAATAAATTTGTTGGATAGGTTCTAGAATGAGTGTTTCCTGTAGTGTGGAAAATAAGAGGTCATGTTGTATAGTGGCTGCTTAGGTTGAGGGTGTTTGAGGTAGTGAAATGGTGGGAATCTTCTTTGAGAGTATAAATAATAACTGTGAGGTATATAGGGTGGGAAAATATGTTGTTTAAATTAGTATCTGACAACTTTAAAAGTAGGGTATGTGTAAACAGAGAGGGGGAAAATAAATTTGTCAGATAGGTTCTAGAATGAGTGTTTTAGGTGATATGGAGGAATTAACTGGAAAGCTTCTACAACAGACAAAACGGGCTTCACTGGAGTTACGTGACCGCTGAAGCGATCTCGAAACTCCATGAGATAAGTTTCACCAAAACGTTGTCAGATTGACTCCAGAACTGCAGTTTAAATAGACTAGTAAAATATGCTGATTAGTACAAAAAACTAGCCATGGAACTGCAGTGTCTGGATCAGTAATTCGACCGCGAAGCGGGAGAATTAGTGGTCTATACACGGCAGTTCCTATACTACTTTGTCCGTTGACCTTCCCACGATGCAGCGAAGGCCTGCGAAAGAGGCATTATTCGTCATTTGCCTGGCAAGCAAGTGCATGCTGGGGGTTGACAGGAAAAGATGGCGCGCCGTAATGCGCACATTAATTACTAATCTTGTATTTCGTACCCTTGTAAAGCCTGGTTCACATATGCCTGCGGCATGCCTGCGACTGTATCATTATGCCTCTACTTGCCGCCGAAATACCGGCCAAGTTGAACTCAACTCAACTTTCCCGGCCTACCGCCGATGTAACTAAGGCACTGGCGGCAATCGGCGAACAAATGTTCACATAATTTACATTTTAAAGCTAGCACCGTATCGTCGCCGGTACGTCGCCGGCACGTCGCAGGCATATATGTGAACCAGGCTTAAGTCGCACTCGCTGCTAAATCTAAAATTGTCAAAAATACCATGTGCATATGTTATGAATGTATGCGTAAATTTGCAAATAGTTGTGCGACATATATTGACGTATTAAAGCAATTTTTACCTGTATTTAAAACTCGGTGTGCATTGTGAAGGAAGAACTCGCAAGCGGTCCTTTGCACACATGAATCTAACAATCCATATATAATGGAATTCCCAAGGGAAATAAAAATTCTGAATTTATTATTTTTATTATCATTTGCATTTTAACGCTAATTTATTCCAAATCGTATGCGTTCGCAAGTATTTGTTATGCAAAGGCCGGCGTTTATATACAATTTTGACCAAACGTTCAGGACACTGATTTCAGGAATTAAGTTTAAAATTTTTGTTGCAGGATTGAAGAAGCAAATAGTCAGAGCAGAAAACTTCAACATTCTGTTGAAATGAAGGAAGAAAGAATTGTTAACTTGGAAACAAGGTAAAACGATAATTTCATTAACAAATTTCACTATCTTGATGAAAATACTCTAGTTATGATTTTTGTCACTTATACCCGTTAAAACGAGCTCAACACCTTCCGTCATTGTTGGTCCGGTAACGTTGGAAGATATATGTTTGTGATGATGTCTCTGAGTGTGTTCGCACTGGGCAAGCTGAAAACCTTGCTTGACCGCAGTGGGAATCGAATCCGCGACCTTTGGTTTGCTAGTCCAATTAAGCTTTTAGCCAGGGTCCTATAAGAGGACGTCCAATTTTGGTACAACGATGCATCTACAGTAAAAAGGGTCGGGGGTTGAGAAAACGTTCCTCCGGAAACCTTTGAAGTTTACGTTACTTCATGTCATCTGTTCCAAGCTTGTTCGAAATTTTTATAACACACATGGCTTTGTGAGTTTGTGACGCTATGCTTCTTTACTTAACTACGACATTTTCAATCACTATCAAATTGATCAAAATGGTAAATGTATAATAATAGTGAGAGTTGAAGCTATTTCGTTTCAGATATATTAATATACTTAGGGAAATAATTTGAAAATAATTTCCCTTTTCCCCCAGAATTTGGGCGTCCAAAGGCGTCCATTTTTTTGTTCTAGCGGCGTCCCGGGACGCCTGGACGCCCTTCTGGCTAAAAGCCTGACTGTCCGATCTCTACCAAACAAACAAACATATATCTTTACCAGAGTGCATAACACCAGGAAGAAGTCAATGTTGGACGATAAAACGATAAAACTATATTAAGATTTTGTTGGCATCTCACTCGATTGAATAATAATTGAAGGGTTTTGTAGGTGGAAATTATCGAGTGGAAGTTTATATACAGTGCATTTATTATAGACTTAACCAGGAACAGTTGCGAAAAATACGACTATAGGTCCCTGGCAGGAATGGACCCTGCGGTCCTGTGAATCCGATGCAGTGCTTTGACCAACTGAGCTACAGAGCTCAGTTGTCGGGCTCTAACCAGAAGACTCCTAAATTGAATCAGGGTGATATAAAATTGATAAGATTTTTTATGCCTTTGCAACGATTCCTCGCTCTGCTTGATAGTCTAACTGTTCCTCTCGTTTAAGGTCAGAATTCTGGTTAGAGCTCTACAGCTGGCCTCTGTAGCTCAGTTGGTTTGATCGCTGTACTGGAATCGCAGGGCTGCAGGTTCGATTCCTGCCAGGGACCTGTAGTTGCATTTTTCGCAGCTATACCTGGTTAGGTCAAATAAATGTATATAAATTTTCACTCGAGAACGTGCAAACTGACATTTCCGTGTTAGCGCAGACGAATGTTGCACGGTTGCATCTCTAGATTCGCTTTTCTGTAAGTTGTAATCCAAATTTCAGATTTATATGCTGGGCACTCAAAATTCCAGACCTGTGTAACAGGTGGGAAATTTGTCGTCGCTGACCAAAAAATCGTGGGCAGAAACAAAGCTCATTGCATTTACATTCAAAACAAAGCAGAAAGTTGGCAAGAAGCTGTTTTTGCTGACGATTTTTTGCTTTCC